TTTGGGAACATGCTAAACTAGCATTTTCCATTCCTCAGAACACTGTAGTCAGCTTTAGATTTTGTGGAAGTAGACAAAGGAGTCCTTGGAGTTTCTATTTATGAGAGTAGCCTTTTAAAATTTGGGGTGGGGGGGGGAAGAGGATGGTGCAGGAGTGGATCTGCTGTCAGCTGCCATTCCAGTGCTCTCTGGTGCTTTATGACCCTTCTCTGGGGAAGTCAGAGCAGTGCAGGAGGTGCTGCAGCTGTGGGGAAGCTGAGCTGTGTCCTCAGACCATCAGTGCATCAGGACGTGCCCTGACCCCAAACCTGAGGGGCACCAACTCTCTCTGTTCACAGCCTCCTCTCTGCACAAAGGACCTTTCTGGCAGGGAGGACACAAAGATTATCTTCTCAGGTTCTCTAACCCACCCAGAGAAAGGAGCTGTGGTCAGTCATGCCAGCTGATTTGGCCTCAAATTGTACAGTATTGCATGGGTTTAGATAATGTACACATAGACCAATGGGATTTTATACCAGCTGAGCACATCCCTGCAACTCCATTGAATCTAAAAAGATCTTCCCCAAGGTCTTTTTTAAGTTGTTCATATTTTGCTCAACCAGCCATCTCATCCTGCTACAACTGAGTAACAGCTGCTGAACTCTTTAGACAAATTATATAAATTCACAAAATGCCTTGAGGTTATTGAATGAAAAATGTAATGAGAAAGAAAAGCCTCCTTAGCTCTTGTGTTGAGTGTGGAACACAACCAACTTTGGAGCATAATTTCACCACGGGGCCTCTTCAACTTGTGACAAAGATGAAACTGATGGGTTTTAAACACTACCAGCTCATTCTAAAGAAGGTCATTTGTAAGGGGGATTCTAAGAAGACTTCTATGCAAAGAGTTTCACCCAGCATGTGGTTAATCATCCCTCACTAGAATTGAAGGCAAAAGGCTTCTGTGCCTCACAAGAGGGAAACTTCATCGTGAGGATAAAAATAGAGAGGGTAAAGATGGAGCTGGAAGAATCCTATGGAGTGCTTATATGTATCCTAAGTAACCCAACAAGTATGTAATTTGGCAAGAAATGGTCCCAGAAATGGTCAAGCAGGAATGGACAGTTGCAGAAACTGAATGCTGAGTCAGCAAAAGAAAATTCTGCTCTGATTCTACTATGCATATTCACTGAATATCCATTAAAATGAGCCCTCTCTGCACCATTTCCCATCAGAAGTACTCTGCCTCCAGTCATCCAGCCATATGTGGTATAAATTATACAAATTAATTTTAAACACAAATAAATCTGGAAGATAATCTAGATTGACAGCTCTCTGTCTTCTGTGAATTGTTCACTCAGGTCAGTGGTCACAAACGTCCCACATGATGAAGAGCTGCTCTAACAAAGATGGCAAAACAAACATGGTGGTGTTCTAGCGCAGGGCTTGTTTCTCCTGCATGCCTGTCAGTCATGTTAGCAGTAAGCACAGATCATAGAACCATGGAATGGTTTGGATGGGAAGGGATCTCTCCTTCCAACACCCCTGCCACGGGCAGGGACACCTTCCTTCAGACAGGGTTGATTCAAACCCCATCCAACCTGGCCTTGAGTAATTCCAGAGATGGGGCAGCCACAGCTGTGTGAGATCTGTGTGCAGTTTGACTCTATCATGACAGTATCATTCTTGGGGAAAAAATCTAGGAAAGTTTATTGGAAAAGAAGGATTTAGAATTAGAAAGAATAGACTCCTGAAAAATAGTAATCTGTTTTCTATGATTTGCTCACAGGTCGAAACAAGAACATCTAACATCATCTAACATCTTTGCATGCAGACATCAGGACAGTGGACAGACACTTTGCTTGCTGGTGTGGTCTGTCTGGAGAGGGGGTGAGACATCCTGGTGAACCTTGGGCTCTGCTCTTAGGCCTCAATGTGGGGAAAGTGAAGCAGTAACTCACTGCTGCTGTGGAGCAGCAACCTCCTCCTCTGCCTTGCAGCTCTGGGAGAAATCCTGACCTCCCCACTGGGGGTTTGTAGCTGATCTCTTCAGGCTGGAGATCCCTCCCCAAGAAGGTTATTGCTACCTCCAGGGCAATGCTGCTCCAGAGTGACAACCTTTGCTGGCTCTGCACAGTTCCTTGTATTCCTAGGCAATAAAGGAGTTTCTCACACGGGCAGAAAACAATCAGAACAGGTGGATACAAACTATTCAGGTAAAATAATGAACTTTTAAGAACCTGATAAAACTGATCAGCATAAAAAATTGGTGGGAGCATCCATCCTGGGAGCTTAGGCAGGATAGAGCCCAATGAGACTGCAGTGTGGTAATGGCTGTCTCTGAGGAAATCTGTGCTTGTGGTCATCTGAGGTGGGGCTTGCTAGGGAGAGGGGGGAGGAAAACCCCCCTCTGAGTGCATTGTTTACTCCACTGCTGGCTGAGCAGCTTTAGCTTTCTCTGATGTTTTGCATGGTGTGTTTGCACATGGAACGAGCTGCTGTGCAGGATTCTCTGATGTTTATGACCATCACGGCTGGGATCTTGATTGACTTGGGGAGCAAAGGATGATGTTGTCTGAGCATGTTAACTGATCAATGTTGCTGCCTACAGGCCAGGAAAGGTTGGGGTCCCCTGCCTAATGCCAACTCAAATTTAGATGCATGTCATTTATAGTCATGCAAAGCAGTGTCACATTTTTTTCTTCTTCTTTGATCGTACCCAGAAATTATAAATCCCCAGGGTGAAATCTTAGCTCTACAGAAACCCAGAGCAAACCTCCTTTCAGTGATGCACAGTTCATGGTGGAAGTTGTTTTTATTTCTTAAATGATTCTTGTAATTGCTGGAGAATTGTATTTATTTCTCTCCCCTCACAGCAAATGAAATGTCAAATTTCATTGTCAAGTAGCCTACTGGAAACAGTCAGGTCTGTCTGTTCAGAGTGCCAAGGGCTGGTAATAAAATTACAGCCCAGTAATGTTATATTTTTCTCCTATTATCTGCCATGCACAGTATTTTTTATGTGTTCTACTCCACTGGGACCATTGTAAACCTGTGGCTAGCTCTTTCATTTTAATATACTCAGCGGGAGGTGGCAGGTGCACTGTTACAAAAAGATTTTAAACTTTATCATAATATATTCAGAAGCAGATAATGAAAAAGCTGCTGGAAAATGGAGAGAATTGAAGGAAAAATTCCACTCCTGGGAACTTATTTAATTTTTAAAGATAGGAAATGCTTTAAAAGCAAAAATATCTCAGATCTGTCTAATCCACTGCCCCAGACTAGTCACCACGATACCCCTGGTGAAGGGGGCAGGCAGAGTAGATGACCTCTGTCTCACCTCAGCTTCCATAGGTGCTCTCCAGCTTCTGTGCCAGCTGGGGCAAAGAGGCACCTTAAGCTGACACAGTTACTGTTTATTTTCACACTGTGACTGTGGGACAAGGGAGATTTTGGGTGAGATTAGACTGAGACACATACTGGAAAACTCTCTGTCACAAAGGAGAGATCATGAGGTGAGGGACACTTCTCCCAAGTGCCAAAATAATCAGAAACAAGTTCCGTGTTGATTTCCAGCCTGGACCAGTCCCATCCACTTCAATACTTGTTTGCTATTAGATTATTTGGATTTTTGATCCCTTCCTGAAGTTTTCTGCAGAAAGGAGTGCGCAATAGCACAACTACATGGGTTTTGACCAGAATCTGGTGCTGTGTTTGGCTCAGTTTGTGTGAACCACTGAGTGAAAATCAGCTCCTAGATGGACATCAGTGTCCAATACCTGTCACAGCTGTGTTCACTTCCCAGGCACCTTCATCTTCATGTGATTTGTTTCTTTGTTTTCAAATGATGCAGCTTTTAAAAATAATAGAAAATAACAGCACATTTGTCTCCAAGTGAGTATTGGAAGCTGCACAGCTTGTCCTGGACTGTGCTCCCCCCAGCATTCTCACAGAACTCTCTTTGTAAGGAGAGGAAATCTTTGTGAGAGAGGGGATTTCATCAATGTATGAAGACATAGTGCCAAGCACCTGAAGTGTCTGAAGGAGGAGTGACAAAGGGAAGGAGGCAGGTGCCAACTGGAGGTGCCCAGCAATGGGACAAGAGGCCCTGAGCAGAAACTGATGCCTAGGATGTCCCACCTGGACATGAAGAAGGACTTCTTCCCTGCACAGCGACTGAACGCTGGAAGAGATTGTCCAGAGAGGATGTGGCATCTCCATCACTGGGGACATTCCAAAACTGCCTGGAGACAACCCTGTGCCTAGCGCTTGGGATGACCGTGGCTGGATCCACTACTGGATCCCATCCAGCCTGACCATCAGGCTGGATCCCTTCCAGCCTGACCATCCTGCGCCCGGTGCTTGGGTTGACTGTGGTTGGACCAGCTGATCCACCGTGATCCCTTCCAGCCTGACCATCCTGTGCCTGGTGCTTGGGATGACCGTGGTTGGATCCACCACGATCCCTTCCAGCCTGACCATCCTGTACCTGGTGCTTGGGATGACCGTGGCTGGATCCATCTGATCCCTTCCAGCCCGACCATCCTGCGCCCACCCCCAGCGGTCCGGCCCCCCACTGTGCCCCGCTCCGCGGGTCCCCCGCTGTCTGCACATCCCCTCAGGTGCGCCCTGCCGTGCCGTGCCGTGCCGTGCCGTGCGCGGCTCCCTCCGCCCGCCGCTCCGCTCCGCTCCGCTCGGCCGTGCCCGGCCCCAGGTGCCTCCCGCCCGCTGTCCCGCCCGGCCCGGCCCCGCTCCGCCCCGCGGGTCCCGCCCGCCCCTCTCGCCCCCCGGGTGCGGCCGCTCCAGACGCGGCGCCGGAGGCAGCGCTGCCCCGCGGCGGCGGCGGCGGCGGCGGGGCTTAAAGCGCTCGGGCGGCCGGGGCCGCGCTCACCTGGGCGCCGCTCCCCGCGCTCCGCCGGCCGCCGCAGCGGCTGCGGGGCAGCGCCCAGGTGACCATGCGGGGCAGGCGGCCGCACGGCCCGGGCAGCAGGTAGCGCTCGCCAGGTGCGCGGCGGAACATGGACTGTCTCCTGCTGGCCGTCTGGACTTTACCTGCTGCGATCCTCGGCGGCAACTCCATGCAATTCCAGACTCTCCCGTGGCTCGGAAGCGCTGTAAAGGCAGGTCGAGAGCGCTTTCTTTTGCAGTCGCCTAGTGTACTTTCATACCAGGTTACTGCGGTTTCTGGTGCCTTGTCTTTCTGCCTTGCCTTGTCAAGGAAACTTCACCCAATGCTCCTTTTCTCTCTCTCTCTTTTATTTTTTCTTTCTCTTGCAGACTCTTCAGCTGTGTTGCCTCTGTTGCATGTCTCACGCGGCAGCTTTAACCAGTGACAGCATCAGTGAATTGACTCATGGTTTGTATACCTCTTTCTGTGTCTGTATGTGAACATTTGCATGGATTTGTTTTTTCTTTTTTATCGTGGAGTGAATATATAGAGGGGAGAAGTCACAGTGTTTAGGGAGCATAAAGTGCAAGCAGGCAGGCTACTGCGGGATGGTGAACCATGGGCAGGGATTAACTTGTTAAGCCCTGTGTGCTAAAGCTGAAAGGAACAATATGTAGCAGCAAAGCAAATGAATGAGATGGTAAATACATCCACGTTTCCATGTGCGATTAGAAAGATGAATGTGTGTGTGTGTGTAGCCACAACAGCAAAACCTCATGTGTCTGTTGTGGAAGCAGTGAGACAAAAGTAATGAAAAGATTTGTGGGGGGGAGCGGGAGGAACTGTGCAATGCAGGCTAAAGGGGGAAAAAGCCTGGAGAGAAAGGGCTTGTGTGAGTGGGAGCTCAGGAGCCGTTTGTTCCCAGACTGGAGTCACTGGCACGTAGATGCTGATGGCTTTGGGACTTTTGAAGTGCAGTATATGCTTTGTGTTGTGTGTGAGCAGAAACAAAGTGCGACAGAGAACCACACCAAGGTCCAGAAAGGAAACCCCTCCTGCACCCTGTGCTCTGCTCGCTGGCTCGCTGGGGGATTCCCTCTCTCCAGCAGCTGCTTGCATTTTTTGGCCACCAGCCTGCTTAGCGCCCTCAGCTTCTGCCGTTGATTAACACCACTCGAGGAAAGTGAAAGCTCTTGATGTATTGTTTCCACTGTCTAAGGAAAGGCAACCTGTCAGTGGTTACGTTTTCAGCCTAATGTGTGTCCAATAAGTCTATTCAGGCAAAGAGATTGATTGAGAGATTTTGCAACATCTGTTACAACACAAAAAGGAGGGGGTTTTCTTCTTTTTTGATGGTGTTGTTTCAATTTAGGAAGAGAAATTAATTGCTTGTCAAGTGCATGGACAACTCTAAGCATCCACAGAGAAACACAGCTCACAAATTAAATGCGGTTGGGAAGCAGTTTTTCCAGCATAATTTCTTAGGCTACCAGGAATGGGTGCAAAGATCCTAGTTCAGGAAACAGCTGAAACTCAGACCCTGGTTCCAGGACACAGGTAATCCCTGCATGGCTAGGTCAACACCAATGGTAATGTACTGCAAGTGAGGCACCTGCTTGTACAGCCAGCTGAATTATGGCCTCTTTCACCCTCCTTTTTTTGGGTGGCTCTGATTTGAGTAGATCAGAGTGTTCTCCTCAAAAACAGTTTTGTAATTTTTTGCATATTTTGTCCAAAACAATAAACTTCTTTGACATGCAATTAGCAATGGCTGACGAAAGGTTATTAGGTAGGATGTAATCTCTTTCTGCTGGAGGTCAGTTACAATTTGAAACCCAGTCTAATCAAGTCACTACAAAGAGATGAGGCCTCACTCAGTTAAGGCATTAATAAATTAATCCTTTAATCCATTTGAACAAGTGGTACAGTTCTGCAAGGTCTCAGTCATGGGTACCCCTACAGTGATACAACATTTGCTGCATTCTTAGGGAAGGGAAAAGCCTCTCAAACCAGAGTGGCCTTCACATTTGACAACAATTAATACAGGGGGAGGGGAAAGCCTACAGATCTGCTGGTGATGACAAACGTCTTCAGAGGAGCAGTTGTGGGAATGTTCACAGCTATGCTAGTTAGTCTGTGCCTCTCAGTGGGGCACAAAGGAAACAAACACAGGCTGAGAGCCTTTGTGACTTACGGGGGTGAATTTATGCAGGCAAGACAGCACACACAGAGCCTGCAGGCCAGCCCCAAAGTGAGGGAATGCTCTATGCCATAGGAAATGCCTGATACTGTGTCAGAGTGCCTTGTTTGTGGGATGCCAGAGCTGATGGCCAACTCTTTATCGTTACAGATTATGTGTTTGTGACACCTGTCAGAGTGGATGCCAGCGGATCGTACATTTCACATGATGTTTTGCACAGTACTAGGAGAAAAAGATCAACTCAGAGTTCAAAGAGTTCCTTGCACTACAAATTTTCAGCATTTGGACAGGAACTTCACTTAGAGCTTAAACCTTCGACCATTTTAAGCAACAGTTTTATTGTCCAGGTACTCGGGAAAGATGGAGTGTCAAATTCTCAGGACCATGAAATTGAGCAGTGTTTCTACCAGGGATTTATAAGGAATGATAGCACCTCTTCAGTAGCAATATCTACGTGTGTAGGCTTGGTAAGTGTCTATTTAAAACAAATCAGCATTAAAAGTATTTTGGTATGTGCAATAGTAGCTGAAGGTGTGTAGTTCATATAATAGTCAAGACACCATAAACCCTTTTATGATTTTTCTAGTTTACTAGTTGCTATTGTATTTAACAGAAGAGACTTCATTATAGCCAATGAACAGCATCAAACCTTTGCAATTTTTGATGACAGTCTTTCAGGAAAAAAAAAAAAAAAAGACTATCTGGTAGTCCTAGTAATTATCCCATAGCAATTTGTTACAGTTTGTGGTAGTTTATACATTTCTGCTCACTCTTAAGTAAAAGTTCTTCCTGCCTTTGTGAACTGTGGTGAATAAAGGAAAAAGCCAGTCCAGAAGCTTGTGAAAAAACAATGTTATATCTAGGTTTGTCAACTAATTTAAGGAAGGGTGAGTTTCCGAGCTTGGCAGGACTTATGAACAAATTTCCCTTTGTTTCCTTTGATAATTCAAGCATTATTTGGGTTTACAGGTCTTCATGAGTTGATCTCTTATGAATGTGTTAAATATTATCATTGTGTATTTTCCATTTATGGCTCTCAGCCAAGTTAATGAAAAATCATTATTCACAGGTGATTTTTTTAAAGTACATTTGACAGTGCTCATTGCCTGAGCAACAGAGAAGGCTTTACTGATGTAATTTAGGAGAATTGTCTACAGAATTAATAGCTAAGGATGTTTTTTAAGGCTTAATCGCTGGCACTTGCAAAGTAGTCTGCTGTGGCTGCAGAGGAAGGCAGTGACATTGAGTGGGAAGTCTATGAAGTCATCTGTGTGCTTTCTGGTTGACTAGAGGTCCAGAGGATATGTTGGGTCACCCTCTAGAAATCTGTTTTGCAAAGGTACTTGTCTCTGAGGGCTATTAAACTGTGTGACGGAACCAAAGAAGGAGCACTTGAGACAGCCAGCGTTTCCTTTGAAACTGGAATCAGTGACTTGAGAAGTCTGTTCATTAGGAAAGGATGTTGATAACTAGTTGAAGTGGTCTGGGTTATATTTTGAATGCTGTGCTCTTTTTTTTTTTTTTTTGCTCCCATCAAGTTAGAGGAATCTTAACAGTTCATTTGAACAGTCGCAAATGTGAGTTTGGAGCAGGTGCCAGGAACTGGGCTGAAGCTTTCTTTTGCTCTTAAAGCTGTGTTTGTGATGCTGAACTGTTAATACCAAATGTGTTCAGTTGTTTTAATGGAAGCTTCATGTTCACAACTGCCACCTTTTATCAGATTTACTCAGAAAAATACCTTGTTTTCACTCATTGCAGTATTTTGTCTTTTTGCTACGGGAACTGCTCTACCTACACACAGCAGGTACAGTTTGGGAGATCTCCCCTGTTTGCCCACGTTTTGATTTTTAACATGCTTTCTGAGCTAAGTGAAGTTGGGCTTGTCAAGTCTTGTCTGGAGAAGGAAGGTTCAAGCCTGCCTCAGGTCACAGAGGAACAGAATGTGGTGATCTTAACTGAGAATGAAATGGATCTTTTACCACTGTCTCGACACAGAGGTTGTTATGACTGGTAAGCTTCACTTAAAAAAGATCCAGAAACTGATCAAAAGAGAATAAATATTGTGGTATGAACAAACTTATTATGGAAGAACCTAAATTATCAACAAATAGAATCTCTGTTTAAAATTAATTTCAAGGTTCAATAGATTTTGCCTTCAATTGTTGTTTTAAACTGGCAAATGAAGTAAACCTTTACTTACAATAATCTCCTGTAAGGTAGGTATCCCAAAGTATAATTGTTCCTTTCTCTCCCTATCCATCTATTAATTTCAGTGCACCTAATGAATCCCAGGCAAATTACCAACAGGATTCTGAGTCTGTCAGTTTACAAGGCTGTCCTCCTAAAGATGTCATCAGCTGTCTGTAATGACACCCACGTCACTTTTCCCTGGGATCCCAATTCAGTAATCATATGTTAAGTCTGGACGCTGTGCTCTGATCAAGAGAACCTTGTGAATAGCTTCTATATCCTTTTGCCCCAACTACTTTTGTCACTTGGTTGCCCTTCTTTCCTATTTGCTTTGTTCACTGCAATTAAACCGAAAGTGGTGTTTCTTCTACATGGTTGGTAGCACTAATCTTTCCATTGTTCCTTTCATTAGCAATAGCTTCTCTACAATAAAGCTGCAGTGACCCATTCTTTCAAGCCTGGAACACCACAATGTGATTTGGAAGCAATTGCATTTCAATAGACTACGGGGACTCTTTGATCTAATTTTTTGGATGACCTAGAGTATTCAGTCATTCAGCTGTCTGTTATCTGCCAGTGCCTGCAGAGGAGACTTTGGGGAGAGGCTGTATGAAATGGCTTGTTAGGCAGGATGACCTTAACTTAACACTGGAAAGGAGCAAGAATTTGTTGCTTTGGTCTAGATCTGTTAAGAGATGTGTGTATATTACATTTTAATGGCTTAGTTGACAGGAAGGCCCCACGTTTTTATGCTGATTTGTTGATTTGAGACCAAATATTTCCATCAGTCAACACAATTTTCTTGGTGTGTCAGAAGGCAGAACTGGATCTTTATCTGAACAAGTCTCTACTATTAGAGACTATTAGTAAGTGAGCATTTCAGGAGAATGTGCACAAGTTTACTGTGAATACTGCCTCTTTTCATCATCAAAGTGCTTCAGCTTTCAAATAGAAGCTTGCTTTTTTCTGTCTTCTGCCCTTTTTCTGCTTCAGTCAGCATCCTTTGCTTGCTGAAGCATTGTTATACAGCAAAAACCCAGTGATTTTCCTTGCTTTGTAAATGAAAACTCTGTTCTGAACCTTCTTTGGAGAACATGACATATTCCTTCCACAGAAGTTATAATTTTTTTTCACATATTTTTTAATGCATTCTCACTCCCTGGGATAATTTTATCATTCTTGCAACTTTGGGACAATGAGTTTGTTTACGTTAGTAAATGCAAAGCTAGTTTCTCTCTTTAGCATCACCTTAATGTGTCCCAAATAAAAAGTAATTCAAATTTTTTACTTTTCTTCACTGATTTTTCATGATTCATTTAATAAACCTCTTGTTTTATTCCTGCATGAGTTTTTGGAGTTTCCTTCAGTGCCTTGTGCTCTCCCAGTTGGTATATCCAGGCTACTGTTTTGTCTTGCTGTTTCATCCCCTGTTTGCGTTCTCCAATTCAAACTGTTTGTTCTTTCCACATTCAACCTTTTTTCCCAAAATCCTGATTTGAGCTAATTCCTACTTACTGTAATTGTATTTTTATTACTATTGTTATTTAGCAATTTATTATTACTTATAATTGCCTGTAGGTGGCTCATTGAGAGGCAGACTATACCAAATCCACAGACTACTGTGTTTTTTCAGGTTTTTCTGAAAGAGATTATGCTGGCCACTCTTTGAATAACAAATTGGTTTTTTAGGACCTACTCAGTATGGTTATGTATATTCCAACCTCTTTCCCCTTTTCCCATTCTCATTCACTTTGTGCTATTTAATCTGCATTAAAAAGGAGATCTGTTGTATGTTCACCATCTTTAACTCCACTTCCATGATGGCATCTAAAAGATTTACTGCTGCCTTCCTAGCCTGTATACCAATGTGTTGTTTGCCTCTCTTTATAGGCCAGTTTTTGTCTCCTTACCTTAGGTTTATGTGGACAGAATATCCTGTATAAAGTGAGTTGTTTGCAGTCACACAATAAATCAGGGCAGAACACAAGAGAACCTCAGAGGTCTCCAGTTGTATTGTGGAGACATTCTCAAAAGTAATTTATAAGTCTGCTTTTGGGAGCAGAAGTCGCGTTCCCCTTGTGAGCATGAACTCTGGCAAGGTCAAACAAGTTAATAATCCAATGCACAACCCAGGAATTGGTGGCCCTAATGAATGAGGGGTTTGTTATGCAGCATTTGTGGGCTACAGGACACAGGGGAAGGGGGGAAGGATCTAGAGCAAGTACAAAATGCGTGCCCAAAGGAAAGACCTGTTTATCCAACATAAGGAACTCTCCTGCCATTCCATCACAGGGAAGATGTGTGTGAATTTTGGGTCAGAAAAAGGAAGTACAGTTCCTTTAAAACTGTATGACACAGTGTTATCTTCCAGGACAAATTTATCAGTGGCATGGAAGCCTGAGAGGCTGCACCTGCTCACACCAGAGGTGGGTTTGGGCTGTTCTCTCCCTTTGGTTTGTGTACCTCAGCCAGAAGTAGTTGGTGCCCTCCTCTGGTTTTGGCAAGATGTGTTGGAATCTGTCATTATAAAGAGCCTCTTATCTCAAGCTGTGTTATGTTTATTAGTGTCTAGTCAAAGGAGGAGAATGAGTGCAACATGATTCATCCCTCCCTCCTCTTTGAGCTGTCAAAGGATTCTAGACACAGGTTATAGACTGAGAGATAAACAGGAGATATATTAATTCAATGGAGGGAGGTGTGTGTGTGTCTGAGGGCAGGGCTTTGCTCAAAGTATCAAAGAAGCCACAAAAATAAAGCTTCTTGATGCAGTCTGACCACCTAAGAGGCAAGCAGGCCAGGCAGCTCATGTACCCACTCTTTGAAGTCATATAATTGCACCTGGTATTAGCATTATTTAAGTTGATGCTAACAGCAGTCTCCTATTCCTAGAGCTCACACTTTAAGTCCAATTAAATATGTTGAGACAAATCCCAAGGTTCTTATGCAGACAAGCTGCCATTAAACTTGTTGAGCCAGACTGCTGGTGAAAGTACAGAATAATTGCTGTTTGCAATGAGGGTCCTTTAGAAATTGACAGCTATAAAAATACAACAAAATTTGGCCCAGTGGGACCTTGAGGAGAAGATAAGTACGGAGCTGCTGGTTTTTCTCATTCTTAAAGGTGTTTTTAGTCCACCCAGGAGCCAATAAACAAATCCTATATTTTCTACCATTGTACCAGCGCAAGAATAGCTTCTTTTATGGGAGGTCTATGATTTTATTTGTATTCACACACTTTTGCATCTCTGTCCTTTATAAAACACAAACCATGTTTTAC